AGTTCTGCGGAAATGGCATATATGGCTCTAGCTCTGATTGGGTGACGAGTATAAACCTTATAAATGTGTGTCATTCGTCAATACCTCAGGTAGCATCCGCTGGACTTGGTTTATTTTCACCCAGCTTACGACTCTATTATTATCGCGCGCTTTGAAACGTGGTAACTGACCAATTGCGGAGACTTGTTTAGGAAACAACTGGTCAACAGGTGTTAAACTCACCCAGGCGACTTTTACACGTTTCCAACAGATTCGGATGTTGTGTCTCAGAACTCCTCGCTGATGGGAGATTTTTGCCCGCAGAAAAGTCTCCACCCCGCAAAGGCTACCCTTCCTTCATGAGTACTTGCACCCTAACTTGCATAGCCTATAGACAACGGATGAATCACTCGCAAGCTTGGAAACCAGCGCGGCCGTAGGGTAAACGGAGAGTTGAAGCCTCGTGCTTACCGATGTGTACAATGCCAGCAAAAGAGACCACATGAATATCGCAAACGCTTCTGGATGTGTCTCAAGCTGTTTCCGCTGCGGTCACCTCTGCAGTACCTACTAAAGCCATAAACCACCCGTTCACTGGTTGGTTGTACTGTAAACCGATTGACTACCGGAGATTTCGACAAGAAAATGGACCGCTAAACTATACAATTTAAGCTATCTATTTTATGTACATTTCTTCAGAACGTAGACTAATATAATGACTGTTGGTAACGCATTAGGAACGACCAATCTGTTGTGGGATGTTCGTTGCATACTTGAATCAAGAAATCCACCAGTGGAGGAAATGACAAAACAGACTGGATATCTTATACCTCGATAGCTTGGATAAAACGGATAGATAGAAGATAGATAGATAGATAGATAGATAGATAGATAGATAGATAGATAGATAGATAGATAGATAGATAGATAGATAGATAGATTAGATAGAAGATAGATAGATAGATAGATAGATAGATAGATAGATAGATAGATAGATAGATAGATAGATAGATAGATAGATAGATAGATAGATAGATAGATAGATAGATAGATAGATAGATAGATAGATAGATAGATAGATAGATAGATAGATAGATAGATAGATAGATAGATAGATAGATAGATAGATAGATAGATAGATAGATAGATAGATAGATAGATAGATAGATAGATAGATAGATAGATAGATAGATAGATAGATAGATAGATAGATAGATAGATAGATAGATAGATAGATAGATAGATAGATAGATAGATAGATAGATAGATAGATAGATAGATAGATAGATAGATAGATAGATAGATAGATAGATAGATAGATAGATAGATAGATAGATAGATAGATAGATAGATAGATAGATAGATAGATAGATAGATAGATAGATAGATAGATAGATAGATAGATAGATAGATAGATAGATAGATAGATAGATAGATAGATAGATAGATAGATAGATAGATAGATAGATAGATAGATAGATAGATAGATAGATAGATAGATAGATAGATAGATAGATAGATAGATAGATAGATAGATAGATAGATAGATAGATAGATAGATAGATAGATAGATAGATAGATAGATAGATAGATAGATAGATAGATAGATAGATAGATAGATAGATAGATAGATAGATAGATAGATAGATAGATAGATAGATAGATAGATAGATAGATAGATAGATAGATAGATAGATAGATAGATAGATAGATAGATAGATAGATAGATAGATAGATAGATAGATAGATAGATAGATAGATAGATAGATAGATAGATAGATAGATAGATAGATAGATAGATAGATAGATAGATAGATAGATAGATAGATAGATAGATAGATAGATAGATAGATAGATAGATAGATAGATAGATAGATAGATAGATAGATAGATAGATAGATAGATAGATAGATAGATAGATAGATAGATAGATAGATAGATAGATAGATAGATAGATAGATAGATAGATAGATAGATAGATAGATAGATAGATAGATAGATAGATAGATAGATAGATAGATAGATAGATAGATAGATAGATAGATAGATAGATAGATAGATAGATAGATAGATAGATAGATAGATAGATAGATAGATAGATAGATAGATAGATAGATAGATCGCATATATGAACTCAGTCTCAACTAGCTATATGGCATCATGCATGTCAGGTGTCAGGAGTTCGATCTGCAAAACTGCCAAAGGTATGTGATGCTGATGAGGCTCAATAAGAGTAAAACTGCAGTCCAGTACTTCTTCATTCGGTATGGACTCACCAGCATAGTTGGCGAGGTGATCCAGTGGTTAGAGCGCGGATTCACTGACCGAAACGTTCGAACCCGACCTCCGCCTCTCGAATTCCCCTGTCTAGGCTTGGGCAACCTGGCATAATTCCAATCCTCGTGCTTCCTCCGGGTGGCATAGCAGCTATGCACCGGGAGGGTGTTACAGTTGAATGACAGCATCATAAGTTCTCCAGGACAGAAAAAGAACCGTACTTCAAATACAGTAATCCCTTAAACTAAACTAGGAGTATTAAACGGTATGGAAGACCCCCTTTGTTGGCCAAGATAATTGAGCACCAGTTACTTTTAACCACTTCTACGAAAGAACAGCAGTACCTAATGGGTCATCCAATGCAGGCCAGCGTTGCATCTTTCGAGCTGTTGGACCGAGCAGCTCACATTCCTCATTATCCCTGAACCAAAAGTTTTATGGCAAACTAGTATATCAATTGAGTGTTGATATTGTAGGTTTTTAGGTCATTTGCTGAAGTTTCTGTGTCTGCTTTCCGGCAGATCCGACTCTTGGTGACCGTAAACTAATAATGGGCTTGTGTTAAAAGGCGCGGATATCGTAACCGGTGTACGCTCACATGCTTGGTTCATTTATTTCTTCCTACAAAACGCACCAAGTCTGGAAACGTAGACCACTTGAAGAGTTGCTTGGAGTGATCACCGTTTAGGCAAATGTTATATTTGTTTTTGAACAGTCTGGTGTGTGCATTTTTGGAACATGTTGTCACCAAAAAATAGATCTCAGGAATTGGCGAAAAATGCCCATTTGCAAACTAATTTGGTTTTTCGAACCAAGTAAAACATAAGGTCGACGGAAACTCGGGGACTTCGCCTTCCTGATGAGCCCCAAGAATGGCGAAACCTGTCGTGAGCTGTCAGAGTTTTCAGCAACCTTATGAGTAGTGCATCACGAATATAAACCTCATACAACAGGTGGTGCGCTGTGCCGATTGCGACACAGATCATGCGGTGGTTAAGCATAAAACGTTGTTGGCTCTAGAGAAGCCTCTCGTCATGAGGCGTCACCAACCAGGCTCAGTACCGGTCCACACAAAAAGACAAAGAGGCTCTTTCTCAGTGCTCTTTTTTCAGTTCTACTAGTCACGAAGAAACAAAGAATTAGGATCAGGGACAAGAAGAATAAGACGGTTCCATCAAAACACTCCAGCAATCGTCGGATTCATTATTTTGGGTTTGCGCGTTGTGATGCAAGTACGAAAATTTTGAATCAAGCGCCACAATTGACCGAACGGTGTGTTTGAACGAGTAAAAAGCTCCTATCCTACTCAGCTGGGAGATATCACAAGGATCCAACTGCGACGTCGGAAGATTTTCATTGAACGAAGCTGCAGTACACAGAGGAGGTCCAGACCTTCCGACTGACCGGCTGACTTGAAGGATCCGCTAACAGCACTGAATTAGAAAGCCATTTATGATGGCTAAAATATGACAACAAAGCCTGATCCCTAAAGTTTGCCCGAAAAGACTCCTGAGGTGTGCAAACTTGGCAGACAGTTCACCAGAGAGTGAACTGTTCCGCCAGACTTGTACGATCTGGCAGATTGTCCCACAAGGGTCCATTGACATCACAGTCATAACATAATTCAAACAGAAGATACCACAATAAACTGCAAGGTCGGTGGGGAATCGGCCTTCTCTTAGCTGCGGGCAGTGCTCTTTCACGTACTCAGCCAATGAGGTGGTAGCCCAGACAAGACTGTCTCTGTATCACAGTACGCATTCCTTGGGGAAAGTGCAAAATTTGATCCCATCTTTTTACCCTGTCAGCTGCGTGGAAGCTGCCGGGAACGAGGTCATGCGTCAGTTGAAGGAAGTCACCATGAATCTATCCCAAAATGCTGAGCGGCTCCTAAAAAGACTTCTGAACCCAGTCAGCCTATTCAATCCTGAATGAAGGGGCGTTCCCTATTGGAACCGCCTTCGGCGATTTCGGAATCCACATGGGGTTAAAACAAGCTCGTCTGCTGATCCCCAAACCTCATTCAATCTCCATTTGCCCACAGTTTATACAAGAGCGTTTGTTTTTCCCAAGAGTATAACTTTTTTCAGTTCGACGTGTCTCCTGGCCAGAGGAAATCTGCAACACAAGTGAGAGAGATTCCCTTGCGGGTGACCCTTATACAAACGGAGGTGAAATTGTAACGAGCAAGCACACCATTTTCCCAGGTAACATTTCGTTCTTGCTCATCATTCTATCCTGCACGCCAGGTGTCCCCATAGCAACCAGCCAGTATCCAAATATATGGGTGCACAATAGAGCGGTAAGAGTTCCTCCGCTACATCAGAAGCATCCTAACCATCCACGGAATGAAATGGATCTAAATGGTCGGATTCTCAGACTAACGACTGCGTCTGTTCGCCTAGGCAAACGCGCTTCAAGCAGATTAGCCGCAAAGTTGTACTGCTTCCCGTTATTTTGTCATCTGCTGCGAAGCAGTGTACAGCGCCTCATTCCTTATGAGAATTCTCCACGAATGCGTACATCACACAGAGAGGTTAGGACCTTTTAGTATGTCGGCTACAAGCGGATGACCAGCGGTGTGTTTATCTTGAACGAATACTGAATATTGCGCGGCTATTCTTCAACAACGCAGTTGTTATCACACCATCCGCTGTGGATTGGAGCACTGAGTGACGGTGCCTTAGCTGGAAGACCCAAGCATTCAAGACAAGGATCATATTGGGAAGCCTTTTTGTCATGTCCGCCTTTCAAACTCCAAAGATTGAAAAAAAAACTGGAAAAATAATTTGTTAGTCAAAAAA